AGTGTAATCACTGGGCACCTTCCAGCTGACAGCTCCCTCACAGTTTGTCTCTGCTGTGGAACTGCTTCACCTGAGGTCATTCCCTTCACCTGAGATCAGCCCACATTCCATGAATGAGCAACGCCTGGCCATTTTACATCAACACAGGCACTCTGACAAACAATACTCACTCCAAAGCTCCCTGCCAGGTAGGCTAAGGCTTCATTGGTCCTGCTTCACAGTTCAACTTCTCCCTCTGCTCAATCGAGCCTCTTCCTACTTCCTTTCACAGTTGTTGATCCCTAATGAAAATGTCTTCCACCACAAACTCCATCTGCTTTCGGAGATTCCCATCTGTGACACCTTCTCTCCCTGTTTCCCTCCAACCCTGTCTTAGTGCCCATGATTTTGGTAAACAAAGATTCTGGTACTCTTCCTCTTCCTCTGATCACTTAAATGATCTTCACTGTGTTGCCAGTGCTTTTTGCTTCTGATCCTTTGTTTTCGTAGGTAGTTTCTTGGAGCCTTCTTTGGAAGTGCCAGGGGTTAGGACATGTGAAGAGCCCTTATACGTAGCTGGTACTGTATACAACTGTTACATTTTAGAGAAAGAGAAGTGACTTACAGATGGTCAAGAAATAACAAGCTGGGTTTCTAATGATGAGACACTTAGACCTATACTTCCCTTTACTTCAAACTTTAACCTACTTGGTATGATTTTACATGGTGCAGAATGGATATGTCTGGCTCATGGTGTAATTGACTACCTATTACACTGTTGCCATAACCATATCTGCTATACTGTGGCTAATTGTAGTCTTCTCTAAGGGACCTCCCTACTCATGTACTCTTCTCAGTATCCCACTTGTGGGATTCTTTATTCTTCCCCATTCTACTTCTCCCAGTGCAGTCTCTGGTGCGATTTCCATTTCCATGTTCTCATCTCCTCTCCCATTATGAGAACCTTGAATGATTGTTTATTACATTTTTTTCTATATTTATTCCACTCTATTCTATATGGCCTTTTCCCTCCCTACATCGCCCAGCCTGCAAGGTAAGGATTCACTATTGCCTGCTTTGGGGAGGCAATTTAGATCAACAATAGAAGGTTTGCCTTAATGTTGCTAGGACAGCAAAAGAGACTCTGCTTGGAGGGTCCCCACTTAGTATAAAAGAAGCGACAGCATCATTTTGCTTTGATTTAGGCACGTACCAGAAGGATTGTCAATGCAGCAAGACTAATGACCCAAAATAAGAGATGTAATTAATATATGGTGCTTTACATAAACTGTCATTTCATCCTTGTAAATTTTCTCAGTATTACATAGTGTCACGCTTGATTTACAAGTAATGAAAAGAACTGGGAAATGGTAATTTACCAGCTCAGTTTCCCATATCTATGGAATAGCACTGGCAGTATTTGAACCCAGGTCTTTCTGTTGCAGAATCCAATACTTTTTGCATATCAGATGCTGACATTGTCAAGAAAGCTGTGATTGGCATGGGCCAGAGGATTCTGAAAGAATCCATGGATAGTAAATGATGCTCTGTCTTTTTTGGTAGTGAAGAGGACATTTCTGAGAACCATATGAAAGCACACTAATCAAGAAAGCTATGGCATTGTGACTAAGGACGGAGGAGTCCTCTCCAGAGGCTTCCTTAGCCACAGCCATAATCCTTCACTGCCGGTCTTTGTTATTTCTTCTGAATTGTCTGATGTCAACTCAGCAACCACTTCTGGTTAAGGCTGGAAAGTAGGTTTGCAGAAACTCCTTCCATGTATGGTTCCAGGTTAGAGTTTGCCAGTGGGAGAAACTCACTCAAGACTTGGAATGTGGGAGTGAAGCAGAAGTCATTATTCTCAGGAGGCTGTGACAGTCAGGTATGTGGCGTCACAGATCTCTCTATGAGCTCTCATTTCCTATTAGCCTTATGCAACTAGACCTGGTGACTTCTCAGAATTCCTGTGAGCTTTGGTTTCCTTACATTCTCCAGTGTTTCAAGTTAAAGTCATTAGAGATATTTGTCTGATCCTCCAGCATGAACCTCCCAGACTTTCACTCTCCTAGCTACTCCTACTTTTTGTGAATCTAGTTTCTAAAATACATTAAATTCTTTATCATTGTAATATTTTAGTGGCTCTATTTTCATGACTGTATGCAAACTGATTCAGGTACCTACTCTGAATTTCGCCACTAGTTTTGTGTTATTATAAAATGACTCCCTAGGAAGTAATGTATCTAAAGTCCATACAAAGGCCTTTTTTCTTCTTTAGAAACCACAGAGGGCTCTGGGAAGATAGTGACCTAAGCATGTGTTGTTTCCCATTTCCAGCTCCAGGCTACCAATTCTCCTCAACCTAATGGCAACTAAAGCCTAAGGAGAAGAGCTGGATGTGAGTGGGGCCCTAGATATTGTGGAAGACTCAACAGAAAGAAGTGTTGTCAGGCTTTGTCTCTTGAGCAAAGCCTGGATCCAGCACCAGAAAAGCCTAGCACAAAGAGACTAGGAGACTGGGAAAACAACATTATACTTGTTTTCCCGGTCTCCTAGACCTTCAAGAGGCCAAAAAGGAATGAACTAAAGGAATAGACAGAGTCAGTGCAGACCTGAGAAGGCAGCGGCTTTCTCCAGATACTGGTTTCCCACTACTTGATGGCTTACAACCACATAGAGAGCCCCCCTTCTACTATAAGCTGACCTCAATGTGCTGACAACTAAATGTTTACAACCATTTCTGTGGGTTCAGCAATCACCAACCAGAGAGGTAAATTAGGCAATGTATACCTAAAAAAATTAAACTGATGGGAGGAGAGACAAGTGACAACTTGAACACCATCACAACCAACACGATAACAAAATAAGAGCATATCAGGAGATTCAAGCACAGCATAAAAATAGACTTTCCAGAACTGCAAACAAAAATGTAAATTCCCCAATAAACAGTTCAGTAGATACATTTAAGAAGAGGACTATGGGTGAGACCCAAAATAGTGGCCTGGAAGATAAAGTGGAATAAGAGTCACAAAGCACAAAGTCAAAAATACAAAAACAATGAAATGATGAGGAAAAACATAAGAACCTTAGAAGAGAGATCCTGAAAAATAATAAGTCTCCTAGAAGGAGAAAAGATAGCTGAGCATGGTGGCAGGCGTCTATAACCTCAGCTACTCAGGAAGCTGAGACAGGAGAATCGCTGGAACCCAGGAAGCAGAGGTTGCAGTGAGCCAGGATTGTGCCACTGCACTCCAGCCTGGGCAACAAAGCGAGACTCTGTCTCAAAAAAAAAAAAAAAAAAAAAAAAAAAAAAAAAAAAAAAGAACTACAATAAAGCTGCAGTTATCACAAAAATGTGATATTGACAAAGGAAGAACCTCTATTGTATACCTAAAAGCAATATAGTTTCCAGATAAATACATATTTTAATGTAAAAATAGTAAAAGTCCTACAAGAAAATCTAGGGAGATTTTCAACAACATACACAATCTAGAAATGGAGAGACCTTCTTAATCAATTTTCAAAACCCAGATGTTATAAAAGATATTTGACTATATATAATACTTCAAAATTTGGGCAGAAGACACAATAATTAAATCAATAGGTAAACAAGAAACTGGAAACATAGTTGCACCCAGAGAACAGATGAGGGGCTTATAGCTATGATATACAAGGACCTCTTAACAATTGGCAAAGAAAAACAATCCATTCAAAAACAGGCAAAATGTAGGAAGAACCACCTCACAGAGAAGCAAATTCAAGTGGCCAATGATATTTTCAAAAGATACTCAGACTCATAAGTAAACAGAGAAACTTATTTTACATTAACTCATGAGTTAATGTAAAAATGAGATGACTGATTTTTATCCATAAGACTTGCAAAATTTAAAAAGAGCAGTAAGATAATCTGTTGGTGGGATTGCAAGGGGAAATTTGTACTCTCATAAATTACTAGTAGACTTGTAAATATGTTATATGCTTTTTAAAAAACAAGAAGTCAACATTTGATGAAATTAAAAACAATATGCATATACCCTTTAACCCAGCTATTTATTCCTGGGAACCTGTTTCAGACTGAAAAAACCAACAGCATGTGAGGCTATATATACAAAGGTGTTTATTACTATGTTGCTTTTTAGTGGTAAAATATAAAATGGAAATAAAGTGAATGTCCACTAAAAGTGGAATGGTTGAATAAATTATTCTTCATCTATATCACAAAATGCTGTGCAGCCATTAAAAAGAATAAAATAGTGAGATTGCAGTTGACTTGTAGGTTTTATTGAATGGGAGTAATAGTAACGATGCTAATAGCAAACATTCACATATGGTACTGTTTTAAGTGTTTTACGTATTTTAACTTGTTGACTGCTCACAATAACTCTATGAGATAGGTTCTATTATAATCCTCATTTTGTAGATGAGGAAACTGAAGCTCAGAGAATATAAGGCCACATAACTAGTAAAAGGCAAGAAGAGTAATATACAAAAATGTGTGAGTAACAATATCTATAAAATAATCTATAGCTAAAGACAAGCATGGGCCTGTGTGTATACATACATGTTTTATATAATTATATGAGACTGGCAATGTGGAAATATAATACTCAGATAGTAGTATGGATTATTATATATATATATATTATATATGTAAAGTATATTAAAAATAATTAAGGAGCCTCAGCATTTCAAAAACAAATTCAAAGAAGTTGCAATTACTGCTTCAAGTAAGACAAAGAAGGAAAGCCTCTCCCAAGGGAAGTCCATCCAGATTCTCATCACCAAATATCTCTTGCCCCTCCTCTGTACCCCTTGACACTGTGCTGATCCTTCCCTTATGGCAGAACTAATGTATTTAGAAATGCCAGGTGCTTCCCATCCTACCTAAACCAAGAGACTCCCTGGAATCCAGTCATCAGTGTGCTCTGAGATTGCCCAACTGCAGAAGGCTTCTGAAATCCCACTCTTGTGCATAAATCTCAGATCTGGGGCATGGAGACAGGGAAAAGACCTGTCTCATGTACACATCTCTTTGGGAAAATAAAGCTTCGTCTTGGGACATGTTATATCCTGCCTCCCAGCTACAGCAAAGAGATTTAAACTTTACCACCCCCATTGACACAGACCAGATTTACGCCTAAGTTTACAGTGATAAATAGGCATAGATTTCCTCTCTCAAAGAGGTTAAGTTCTTGAAGGAAAGATATGACTTTTATATTCAACAAATGTGCTTTGAATGAGGAAAATGATGGCATACATGAATAAATCAAATACAAGGTAGAGAGTGAAGTGTTAAATCATAGTGCTACGAACAAAATGCTATAAGAGTTGTCATAGGGATGGGCAAACATTTCCAGAAATGGTTTTGTAAAGAGACGCCATTTGAGCTAGATGCAGTGTTTCTGAATGTGTGATCAGCATCATATTCTCTGAGGTTCTTAAGGGCTCCAGATCTCCTGAATCAGAAACCCCAGAAGTGAGACCCAGGAGTTGGCATTTGAAAGAAGCCTTCCACATCAATCTTATGCACACTATAGTATAGACCATGAGAAATGGGGTAGATTATGGTGTGCAGAGAAGTGGGGAAGGACATATAGTCAAAGGCAATAATGTGAGTAAAGTTTCCAGGCATAAAAGCAAAAAGGAAAACATGGCCAGTTGAATTCAACCAGGAATGTTGGAAGTGGCAAAGAGGAATAATGAGGAATAAGATTTGAAAGGTAGGTTAGGGCTAGATCATGGAGAGCCTGGGGATGCTGAGTTAAATAATTTGGCTTTATCCCAAAGGCAAGAAAAATATTGAGAGATATAAGACAAAACAAAATATGAGGGCCTAGACTTACACAGTACTTCCCAAATTTAGCCATGCCTTAGAATGATTGCTTGCTAAGTCTAGCTTCTGGGGCTCCACTCCCAGACTTTCTGAATCAGAATTTCTGAAGATATGAATCAGAAATGACATCTTTAAACAACCTTTTCAGGTGATTCCTGAGTAGACAGCCTGGCATTGGTTCATGAAACGGAGTTTGGGAACCACTCCTTTACTGACAAATGCATTCCTAAGATGTTGCTTGAATGTAGAAATTTTATTAGTGGAGCCTCTGTTCAAAGTACTAGGCAAGGAGACTCTTCAGAGGCAATCTCCTGCAAATCTCCTTGCTCAGCAGAAGAAAAAGAAATCACTTTCTATGTAGTGTTTCTATTTAATAAACACCCAATTTAAATGTAAAACCCATGACAACTTCCCATAAAATGTGACAACACATTTCAATGCCTGGTATTGGCGATGCTATATGGTTGTACAAATACAACATGGGAAAAATGATTTCAAAATATTTAAGTTTCCTCTATATAGCAAAACGAATGACCATAAGGTAATATTGGAAAGGAGATAGTGCTAGTAGGATGTGATGCTGATAGAGCATGGCTTCAAAATGGACATATCTAATACCATGTAGCCATTTTGAGGTAGCAGGGGAAGTTGAGGCACCAATATAGGTAAAAACCGGATGGTTTCTCAACTCAAGCTCCAAAAAGATTAGGCTATATGACTTCCAAGATTGCTTCTAGCTTTAATATTTTAAGTTTATGTTATTTGTACACTATCTACCTTGAAGATGAGCAAAAGGAAAAAAATGGGCAGCGGATGCAGTGTTCAAGTATCAGTCTAATTCATCTTTCTAAAAAATGCACAAACACGGATGATTCTGAGGCTGAAGGTTTGTTTCCTAAAGCCATGCAATATTTTAAGATTTTCATTTTCATTTAAACAAAGCATACCTGTTACTAAAGTGTCTCTTCATTTCCATGAAAACACCTCGGTTTGGCTAGCTGGAATGCTGACATCGTAGTTTGCTTAGCAAATGCTCAAAAGTCAACTTTAAGGAAGAAAATGCTATTGTTTAACCTTCCAACAGCCAAGCTTGCTTCTTTTCCTCTCAGAGGGTACCCAACCTCACCCCCAGAACTTTCTAGCTTCCCTTCAACTCCAACTCCTTCCCCAGTGCCCATTGCTATAAACAGGTTAGAAATCAGAGATGAGCTCTGACAGCAATATCTCAGGAAGGAAATGGAATCCAAGCAAGTCTTTTGTTCACTTGGGTTGGAATCTCTCTTTCACAAGGTCTGTCTGAACCATAGGAATCCCTGCCCTGTGCAGCTCTACCTTACTGTCCACTGCTGCACAGCAGACAAGGAAAACACAGATAACCAGTGCTCTGATCCAAATTCGCATTCACACAGCAATGAGTCAGGAAAGACAAGGCACCTGGAATAGAGCAGCTCCAGGTAGAGTAGTTGACAAAGGGTTAAAATTAACATTGAGGTGCTTTCTTGCTTGCTAATTCCTTCACTTTTGGGTGAGAGGGTACAAGGAAAGGAATTAATTGCCAAACATTACTGTGGCTTGATCAGTGTGTTGGGAGCATGGAGTTGTATTTTTATTCGCAGGCTATGTCCTGCCCGGACATTTGTCTCCCTGCCCTAGGCCAAGGAAATCTGGGCCTGGGTTAGCCAAGAGGATACCAATTCCCGTAGCATTTTCCCCAATGAGTTTGGTTTCACCTACCTTAGAAGTGGAGACGCAATGGGCCTGGTGGTGAGAAACAAGCAAGATTCCACCATGGACCAAGATCTTAAAGGGCCCTGTTGTTATTAGTGCCCACGGTCACTCGCTTCCAGGCCAGGGGTAGGAAGCTTCTTGGTCATGTCGTCACTGTGCGTTTCTGAGGTTTGCAATAGTCTGCATCTGAGCCAAAGCACCCCGAACACCCTAATTCCCTCCTGGCTTCAAGGGCTCCAGGCTGGAAATGCAAATAGTCCAGAGTGATTGCAGGGGCCAGTGGACCCTATGCAGTTCATATCAGACTGTTCTGAGGAGTGGTAAGTCACAGGGTCTATATTGCAGCTATTTTTAGTGAAACTGAATTCCTTCCCTGAGTTCCCTTGCTTCCAACTTGTTCTAAGTGTAGGAGACCAGCTGTGATCAGATCATCTTACTGGACCAAGGCTCTGTCAAGGCGAAGGAACCAAACCAGGGAGGTGGAGCAAAGAGTTCACAGCTGTTGGTGCTTTAGTCCTTTCTCAATGTCTCGGCCATCTCCAGAGCAGTATGATCCTTTGGAAAGGAAAGTGTCACTACCCAGGGGAGTGGGCATTTCCCTCCAATCTGGCAGAAATTTGATAGGTAGATGACATGAGAGGGAATAATCAAGAAGTTGGCAGACCTTTCCATTTATTCCCCTCAATTCCTAAACACACACACACACACCACACCACACACACACACACACACACACACACACACCCCATGCATCAGATTCTATAGGCCAAACCCACATCTTTGACAGACTTGCCAAAAGGGTCTAGAAAAGAATATCATCGTCCATGAGCCAGGCCAGAGGTGAAACTATGAGGAGGACTGGTGTCTAGTCACTTTTCAGCTGTCATTTGTTATTCCAAGAGGTAGTTTTAATGGGGAAAAAAATTCCAGGAAGATTTATTTTGGCTTTGAACTTTGGCAGGAAGAGTTAATTCAGAAGAGGCAGTTTTCCTGGCTCCTGAGGGTGCTAATTTCTCTCCCTGGCTTCATCTAGGTAAGTTTTTTACCAACTGTGGGCTATGACCCGTTAGACAGTAATGCAATCTATTTAATAGGGCATAATCAGCATTAAAAAATGAAACTAAATAAAATGTATAAAATAATAAAAAGTTTCACAGAACATACCCACTGTTACTATACGCAATGGAGTGCACTGCACATAGTAAGTATGTTCCGTCAAACTTTTGTTTCATTTATGTACATGTGTACTCAGTCACTGCATAAAATGTAGTATTTTTACTCTTGGTCACCATAAAATTCTACTTTTTTGGAAAACACTGATTTAGATGATTTGGTACAGAAGCACATGAAGATAAATCATTTAGGACCCCCAATTTTATAAATGCTACCACTGATACCATAACCACTATTTTAGGGGTGTTCATTATATGTCAGGCACTATTCTAAGTATTTCATTTTCTCTAGTTGCTATCATAATCTTCTGTGATACATTTATCTCAGTTTCACAGAAGCAACAGCAAAGGCTCAATATCAAGTTTAAGACCTATCAAGAAGAAGAGCTGGGGTATAAACATAGGTCTGTCTGTCTCCAAAGTTTATGCTGTTAAAAATTCTAGACCATTTCCCTCCTTAATTGGTCAATACAGAGTTAATTCCATTTGTTAAACAGATATGATAGTCTTGGCTGTGCCAGTAGCTTTATATAAAATCAAATTAAAATGTTTAGAGAAAAATAATTTCATATTCCTAGAAACTTCTAGTAACCTCTTATTTAAAAAGACGGTTTAATTCTGAATTAACTAACCTATTTTACTTAGAACCCCACATCCAAAATTGAGTCTCAAAACTCTCTAATGGACATCTGAAAGATCAGGTGAAGGAATGTGATTTTAAGGAACTCATTTTCATGGCCTTACCCCTCTAGTTACTTCCATTCTATTGCACACAGAAATCTTGTCCCAGGGCGCATTTGGTTTTTGTCTTTTTATAGTTTGAGCTAAATCAGTTCAACCACTTTTTGAGTTGATGAGGAAAAAAATCATAGTTATTCTACTTCCAAAATAAGCTTCTCTTTTGGGTACACAGAAAGCTCAGAAAAGGCTGAAACTTCCAAACTTCCCACTTCACATATGGGGACTACTAGGTCCTCATTACTTTCAAATTTACTTTTAAAATTCCTAGTGATTTGCTCATTTTGCAAACTTTTATGTTCTGTTGTCCTTTTTGTAATTTCATGGCACATACTCTGCGTGCGTGCCCAGTATGTTATAGACCAGAGGTACTGGTTTCAATGAGTGCCACCATGTGGAAAGTGTGTTTGTGGGGAGAGAGAGAGAGGTTAAGTAGGAGGAAAATATTGAATACAGCCTCCTGCAGAGCCCCTGTGGGAGTGCAGGTTAGATGAGAGATGCCCCAAAGGGAAGTGTTTCCTGGCTGCTTGCGTGGATCAGAGCTACACCACATGGCTACTAGCTTCAGAATGGTATTTTCTCCAAACCAGGGAAAGCTGAAACCTGACCTAACTGGTGATTAGCTTCTCTGTAGCAGATACTGGCCACTCATCAGAGCTTCTCTGATCTTCTTTGTTTGGAATGAAAACTAATTGACTCATAAATACATGCAGAATTTCCAGGCAAGAAGTTCTCCATTGTTACCAGCGGCATGACCAGACACTGGGGTCACAGGTGCTGTCAGGAATCCAGCCCAAATCTTAGCTCCCCACCATGCAGGCCCTGCAGCTTCCTGGCTGGGCTTGGCTTTTAGGGGCAGAAATTCACCCCCACCTGTAGCCACATCCTTCCGATGCTTTTCAAAACAGGAACAGTTGTCTCAGTCCTCGCATTCTCCTGGCTATTCTATTTTTGCCAGGATGGAATGGGATATTGCAGGGCTTCTCCGGCCAGAGCTGAGCAGATTTGTCTAAAAGGATCCCAGGACTCCTGGCCTCAGGGCTCCCCACCCCAGGGCATGCTCCTGGCTGTGTCTTTTCCAGTCACCACATTCGTGGAAGCAGTGTGGAAAGGACAAAGAAAAGGGGCTCTACTTATCAACCATACCACTCTGCTGAAAGCTTCAATGAACGAAGGGACATTTAATAATAGAATTCCTTCTCTGATATTTATAGCACCAATTGCTCAAAGCTGTTTTAGGTTTTTTTTTTTTTTTTTAAATCTCAGCCTTTGTCACAACTTCCTGGACAACTGAAGCAGAAGCCAGGTATTAGCAGCTCCACTTTGCAGACCAGGAGACTAAGGGATCAATGGAGAGAGACTCTTCCAAGTATGAACAACAAGTGAAAACAGCTGAGAGCTGTCTATGTCTGAAAGCACAGAGCCCATTCAAACATCTTGCTAGGAAGATGAGGCTGTGGTCCTTAACTCAATGGCTCACCGACTCACTCACTGGATCATCCATCTACCTAGCATTAAGTTCTGATTATTTCCTAGCCACTGCACGAGGCACCAGGGATACAGAGACGAATATGTTATGCTCTTCTGTTTCTTCAACAAATAAATTTCAAGGAAGCAAAAGAAGGAGGGCAAACTTAATGATTGAAAGGCATTTGAAATATACATGAACCAAATGTAATATGTGGACCCTGTTTGGATCCAGAATAAAACATACCAAATGCAAGAACACATTTATGAAACAAGAGGGAGTGGATATTTAGTAGTTAAGGAATTGTTAATTTGTTAGATGTGATATAGTTACTGTGTTAAAATTGCCTTACCATTTACAGCTATATACCAGAGCACTTATAAATGAAATGACATGATGGTTGAACTTGAAGGGAATGGGTAGAGATATAGAATAACCAATAATGTCCTTGAGTTGATAATTGTTGCAGCTGAATAATGGGTATAGGGTAGTTCATTGTACATTTCTCTTTAGTTTTGTGTATGCTTGAAAATTCCCACAATAGATACATAAAAATAATGCTTTTTAAATAAAAGTCACGGTGTAATAGCTGCCTTCAAGGAATTCCTGGAGTCTGCATTTTCCGGAGACCCTTACTGACAGCCATTTTTGATAAGCCCATCCTCTCCTGAGCTAGAGAGGTCAATATCAAGTAACCTGAGGCCGCAGCATAGGGCTGCAAGTTCAAAAACAAGTTAGCTGGAATACAGCAAGGCAGGACAGGAGTAACTCTGACTGATGTGGGTCTTGATGTCATTTCTCTCCGTATCAAAGACTCACCAGCTGATTTTTGAACTGGAAAGGCCCTAAGGTCCTAAGATAGGGAAACAGGCTGAGTGGCTGGAAGTGGTTTCCCAATGCTACACAGCAAACAAGTGATAAAATTAACAGTAAAATCTGGGGCCTTTGACTTCCATAGCAGGACCATATTTTTTAAACATGTATAATATGCCCCCTACATGCCAACAATCATACTAGGTACTATTATATAGTAACTTCATCATTAGATCCTCAAATATGGAGAAATCAATATTTATTCCTTTCTGTTACACTTAGTCCAGTGTCCCCCACACAGTAAACACTTGACTGGAATTGGATTTAATTAGGGTTGGGTCCTGAAGAACAATTTTTGTTTGTCATTAGCGTGGTAGGCTTTAATCCAATATGACTGCTGTCTTTTTAAAAAGGAGAAATTTGGACACAGAAATGGAATTATACAGAGGGAAGACAATGTGAAGACAGATAAGGAGAAGACGGCCATCTACAAGCCAAGGAGAGAGGTCTGGGACATATCCTTCCCTCATAACCCCCTGAAGAAAACAACCTTGCTGACACCATGATATTGAATTTAGACTCCAGGTATGTGACACAAAACATTTCTGCTGTTAAAACCACTCAGTCTGTGGTACTTGGTTATTGCAGACCTAGAAAACTACTACAGCATATATGAGTAGGCAGCTGAGTGGGGGAGGGGGAGGTTGAAAAAGGGTTGATGAAGAAATTCATTCCACAGATGCGTATTGTGCCCCTTTGATGTGGTAGGCACCGTGCAAGTGCAAGGCACCATGGGGGCTATAAAGATAGCCTTTTGCTCCCAGTGTCCTGATAAGTGGTAGTCATAGAGATGACACATTAATTCACGACTATAATATAGGTAGGCAGAAAGTAACTAGAACCATGAAGGAAGTACTGATAAAGTGCCAGTGAAGTTCAGAACAGGAGAAAGAACTCTTTCAGCTAAGAGAAGGAGAGAATTAGAGAAGACTAAATATAGAAGGTATCAGTTAAAGTATATTTTAAAGATTGAATAAAACTTGGACAGGCTAAGATATCAGGAAAGGGTATTCCAGTGGAAGAAATAGCATAGGCATAAACTTGGCAATGATATAAAAAGA